AACCATCTTGGCTAGACAATAAACTATCAACTGAAAGAACTACAAGGAATAATAGTCTTCAATATTTTTTTAAAAGTATATGTAAAGATATTCCATAAAACATGTAATATCTTCATGTGGAAGAACATGAAGACAAAGTCAGGAACAATTTACGTTCTGTACAATTCTTAACAATTCTTTCAATGGAGATACACAGCCATTTTTGTGCTCACCAACAATACTGCAAAGTTTTGAATTCTGAATATAAATTTAAATTTTAGAATTTCTTTCTACATTTTTCTTTTCAAATGAAATTCAAGTGAAAATGTTCATGAATGGATACCTAGTGGTGGAGCCTTGGATTATTTTAATTTATGTCTTTTATAAGAAGAACAAGAGGATAACTAAATATATTAACCTTGTACCTACCCAGGGACCTGCTAATCTTCTCAACATAAAAGCAAGAGTATAAAAGGTAAAAATATTAGAATATATTGGGCCTCCCCGGTGGCGCAGCGGTTGAGCGCTGGGTTGCGAAGCTGCTCGCAGCCTCTGCAGCTCTGGTTCGATCCCCGGCTGCTCCCCGGCCACCGGAGGAGGGTCCCACATGGTGCGCAGACCTCTCCTGCCTCCCACTGCTCCCCTCAGCAGTGTACTTCGGTCCTTCTGCCTGCTCTGCTCCCCGCTCTGGCTCTGGTGAATTCTCTCACCCTCCCGCGCTTCTGACTGTACCCAGTGCTTGTATAAATAAATTAATTAATTAATTAATGAACGAATAAATCTTTAAAAAAAATTAGAATATACTCTAAAGCATAGTATGATTTTTTTTTATTTTAGAATTACATTCAATTTAGTAATTGTGTATCTTAAAATAAAAAATTTAATTTTGCAAACAATTTCTTCCCTCATATTAAAGCTGACAATGTTCACTTAACAAGGTGTGCTGAGGATTAATAAGATAATGCACTTACAGGCTCAGTACAGTGACTTAACTAATGGAAAAAAATGAAGTACTTCAGTGGTATTTAAAAGGTTCTGACATTAAATATACTAAGAATAATTATACACATTATCTCTTTTTTCTTATTTTTTTTTCTTCTCTCAATTATTTCATCTACGTTGTTGATAAGTATATGCAATTGATGGACATATGTATTTGCCCAACACATGATTAGATTTTGGAATAATTAAATAGGAGACATCTTAAATCTCAAATGCAACAGGGGTATAGGAGTACTTAAACCTGCATACTCCTCATCTTTAACACAAATGAAGCAGGTGAACTGAGCAAAACCTCTCATTTGCAAAATTAAAATACTGAATTTATTTAATAATATCTATTAATTTTCACTGAACTCATTTTTTATGATGCCTTAAAGCAATTTACATCAAACTGCAAAGGATGTCTTATTTTAGCTATGTTGTTACATTGCCACTCCTAAGTCTGCAGGTAAAAAGCTAGTTGTACTCTATGAAGTCAGTAAAAGTAATGAAATTCAATAATTTTGGCAAAATCATCACCTTCACAGTATTGAATTTCAACACAAGAACCTATGCTTTCTCTACTTATTCAATTTTTGTTCCTTACCAAGCACCCAACACCCCCATTCTCAGCTCAGTTTACTCTCAACTCTGAACAATGGCCTCCCTCAGCTAGTCTGCATTTTCAGTTCCTATGAATAAGAAATGCACTCCTTTTCCCCACTGAGAATGATACTGGCTATTGGCTTGTCATATATGGCCTTTATGATGTTGAGGTATGTTCCTTGTATCCCAAGAATTTCAAGGGCTTTTATCATGAATGGGTGTTGCACTTTGTCAAAAGCTTTCTCAGCATCTATTGATATTATCATATGGTTTTTATATTTCTTTTTGTTGATGTGTTGGATGACGTTGATTGATTTTCGGATGTTGAACCATCCTTGTGTCCCTAGAATGAATCCTACTTGGTCGTGGTGAATTATCTCATGGATACATTGCTGGATTCTGATAGCTAAAATTTTATTGAGGATTTTTGCAGCAGTGTTCATTAGGGAGATTGGCCTGTAGTTTTCTTTTTTCGTGTTGTCCTTGTTCGGTTTTGGTATTAATGTAATGTTGGCTTCATAGAACATGTTTGGTATTATCCCTTCCTTCTCAATTTTTTGGAAGAGTTTGTGAAGAATAGGCACTAATTCGTTTCTGAATGTTTGGTAGAACTCGTTTGTAAATCCATCAGGTCCTGGGCTTTTGTTTTTGGGAGGTTTTTGATTACCATTTCAATTTCGCCACTTGTAATTGGTCAGTTTAGGTGTTCTATTTTTCTTTATCTAGCTTTGGGTGATTGTAGAGTTGTAGGAATTTGTCCATCTCCTCTAGATTGTTGAACTTGTTTCCATATAACTGTTCATAGTAGTTTCTGTTGGCGAGGTTGTGGAGAAAAAGGAACTCTCCTGCACTGTTGGTAGGAGTGCAAACTGGTCCAACCACTATGGATAGCTGTGGGGAGATTTCTGGACCGACTAAACATAGAGCTTCCATATGATCCAGCAATTCCACTCCTAGGTATTTACCCCAAGGACACAGAAACATCAATTCCAAAGAGCACCTGCACCCCTATGTTTATAGCAGCACTATTTACAATAGCTAAGCTTTGGAAACAGCCCAAATGCCCAAAAATAGATGACTGGATCAAGAAGATGTGGTACATATACAACATGGAATATCACTCAGCATTCAAAAAAGATAAACACATGCAATTCACAGCAACATGGATGGAGCTGGAAGGGATCATGCTCAGCGAAATAAGCCAGAAAGAAAAAGAAAAATACCGGATGGTCTCACTCATAGCAGGAATCTAGAAAACTTAATTAAGGGACCAGGGAAAAGAATAACCATAAGAAAGAAAATATCAAAATCAACAAACAACTATGAACCAGAGACACTCTATGGGGGGTGGGGAAAGGAGAAATTGGGGTCAAAATAAGGGGGTTGTAATTGTATGGGGAATATAAAAATAAAATTTAAATAAAAAAAAAAAGAAATGCACTCCTTTGGTCCCCATTGTGGACTTCTTTCTAGGCAAGAGGAGAGGGGCATACATATGCAACCATTTCCGTAGATCTAATGGCATCTTCATGTGTTCAAATACTCATTCATTTTTTGCAACAATGAATTCTGCTCTCTCTCCCTTCTCTGGTACATAATATATAACTCTTTTATTAATTTTTTTTCTGTCACTATATTACATATGAGTCTCATAAAATTTGGGGCATTTTCTTTCATCATGCCTATTCTTATTCTCTTTTGTCACCCTAATTTAGACAGTTTTTTATTCATTCACCGATATCTATATTCTTCTTGGTATTCTATACATCACAAAGCATAAAAGATATCAAGTAAGATTTTTTTTTTCTTGATGTTTCAATGCAAAAAGCTGATCCAGCCAGAGAGGGTTCACATATTAATGCCAAAAATAAAAATGAGGTCAGCCAAGGGAATGGTTTTGAGGTTGGAGACACCCTGAAGGAGTGAAGAGCTCCCAAGAGCAATTTGTTTGGAATTCTGAATCCATCAATAACCTCTACCCAGAATGTGTCAATTCTCATTTTTTTTTTTTTTTTTTTTGCAATTCTACAATTCTGTCGCTTTCACAGAGACTCACTTATTACCCTAAACACTTCCATTGCAGAACCCATGCACAAGCTTACATGAGTTTGCAGGTATCCATGCAACCCCAGTAAAGAGATTTTGAATAAATACAGTATCAGCTCTCTGGGGAGAGGACAGTGTCTCTGGCTCCCCCTGTGCAGTGCATGGGACATATTATGAGCTCAAAAATTGCTGGCCAGAATTGAATTTGATCTTTGTTATTCACAAAGAACACCCTTCATTTCCAGATTTATAACCTTATCTCACAGGTATTTAATTTTAATCAACACACTCTTGGTTTGAAACCTACAGTTGTTTTGAAGTTTCTGGATATATTAAAGGGATATGGGTGTTGTCGTGGTGGGTGTGGTGTGGTGACACACATCTGAGGAGGTGTGAGCCTATTCCCTTAAATCATATATACAACAATGGTATCGCAACAATAAAAAAAAAAAAAATTTTCTGGAATAAATTTCTTTAAGTATTTGCTTAATTAGGATTCTTTTTGAACGTCTATTACTACATAAGGCAATCATGCATTCAAGTTTCTCACAAAAAAGGAATATTTACATATAAACATTCAAAAGATACTCATATTTCATACATGAAATTGCTTTTATACTATTTGATCTCACTGACCCATTACATTATTGGAAACAGAGGCCTTGTTGATTCACTGAGACCACAGATGAAAGTACTTTCAAATTGTTACATTACTTACCTTGAAATGGAAGTACTGAGAATAAAGAAATGACATACAATTTTTAACAAATCATAAAACTATACAAATAATCTTACTCAAGGAAAATTAAAGATGCTATATATTTTCACTTATTGCTATCATTGTCCTAAAGTTATTTTAGAGTGACTTTAATAGTTATTTCATAAATCATAAGAAAAACTGTATTTTGCAGTGTTTCCCTACTTGCACCTAAATCTTTACTGCCTATCTCAATGACTCTGTTCTCTAGACATAGCTGTAAACAATTTTCATTTATTTTTGAAAATAACATGTACCCTCAAACAATGAAAATGTGTTCCCACAGAGGATATTCAAGAGAATTCTTCACAAAACTTACAATTACTTCAATGTGAAAGATTTTAAAATATTCCCTGAAAAATGGAAACCTCACATCCCATTTTTAATTTTAGGGTAGTCTGTACATTGCAAGGATTCATCAAGTGAAGGCCATCTATAAATTGTAAAGTGTAGTGAGAAAGCTTAATTAATTGCCAGGGGTGACATTTCCTGTTTACACCAACTAGCCATGCCAAAGGTGTGGCTCAGGAATTCACTATCATTTTCACATACAGAAATACAGTTTTCCCTAGCACACAAAAAAGCATACAAATTTTAAAAAGATTAACAAGTTTCTCTGGGTTTTACTCACATCGACAAGTTGATTCACTCCACTTGCTGTTTTTGCCAGTGTGACAAGGTCTTCTTGCATCTTATCCACCCATGACTTGATACTGTAGAAAACAGAAACGAAAATATTCTATCAGCTCTCTGGCAAATAGAGGGCACAGACTACCATCCCATATCCATGCTGCAGAAAATTCATTATATTAAATAGAAATCTTTCTTCTCCCTGCCTTCTCCAACTATGTCCATTTTCCCATCTCACCTTCAAATTACAGAACCAATGAACCTTAGCATACAACCTCTTAGATGTTGAAATACCTCCAAATCAAACAGAGAAAAATGACAGAGATGTGCTTCATATTTTTTGAATATGAAAAAATATTTTAAAATATTTTAAATGTCTCCTAGTTCCATTATCCCTAGATAACCACTCTCAACATTTTGATGTATCTCCTTCCAGTCTTTAAAAATCCTTTCACCTTCAGTCATCTCATAAATGCTCTCCCATGCCATTACAAATATTTTATAAACATCTTATTTTAATGGCCACTTAATATTCCATTATCTCGACATCCCAGAATATACTTGCACATTCTCCTTTTTAAAAAGATAGGATGTCATCAACTTTTATTTATTTGCAAATTACACTGCAACAAACATATTAGGGCACACATTTTAAAATTATTTAATTTTCGGGCCTCCCCGGTGGCGCAGCGGTTGAGCTCTGGGTTGCGAAGCTGCCCGCGGTCTCTGCGGCGCCGGTTCGATCCCCGGCTGCTCCCCGGCCACCAGAGGAGGGTCCCACATGGCGCGCAGACCTCTCCTGCCGCCCGCTGCTCCCCTCAGCAGTGTACTTCGGTCCTTCTGCCTGCTCTGCTCCCCGCTCTGGCTCTGGTGAATTCTCTCACCCTCCCGCGCTTCTGACTGTACCCAGTGCATGTATAAACAAAAACAAACAAACAAACAAATAAATAAATAAAACATGCCTCTATTAAAAAAAAAAAAAAAAAATTATTTAATTTTCTTAGCTAGACTCTTGGATTTGGAATTACTGAATAAAAGTTTTAAAGGATGGTTTTGAGCATTAAAATTATGATTGAAGGATGTGTTCAAATTTTTTTAGGTATGCACACAATTTAGAATAATAGCTTAAAATATGAGCTATGGATGTTAGGACATTTTAGAAATACCTAAGTCAATGGTCTCTCTTGCCTTTACCGGGCATTGAGACATTACCAAATACCACACAATTTTCTTGCTTCGAATCAAAATAATTTGCAATCCCTTCATATATTTTATTTATGTATCCTCATTTTATATAAGACCTAAAACATGTATTCCTTCTTGTGCATGCAAACATAAGAAAACACTAATAAGAATGACAGATGATTCATATTTGAATATGAAAATCTCTCCACACATATGTGTATAGTTCTTATTTTTCTTTATCTCACTTCCCTATATTTTATTAGTAGTAAAAGTTTTCCCTCCTTTAATGACTGAGAGTATAAAAAAGGACTGTTTGATAAAGGATAAGAAACTATACATTTGATAAATGCTTTTACCTAACCATGTTTGTGTTCTTTTCCTTACATACATGAGAACTACAATAGCACTTACAAGATCATCTTTTTTTTTTTTTCAGATAAATTTAAATGCAACAGAATCAAAAATAAATGTTGGGAAAAAGTATAACACGGAAAAGGAATTTAAGTGAGGTATGAGTTAATAAAACATATTTTTAAATGAACTGGTAAATGAAAGAGTAAGAAAGAAAATGGAAAGTAGTCACAAAAAGGAAAAATGCCATAGAGGGAAACAGAGAAGCTTGACTTACTTGTGAGACAAATTAGTAAATGAAAAACATTATTTTGAGAATACTTGTCACACAAATAGGAATTTCAAATAAAAATAAGGAACAATATGTATTGAACTATGCTGAATATAATTTTAAAGAGGTAAATAAGTGTCTAAACAAAATATAAATAAACTGAAAAGAGGGATACAAAGCAGAGAGAAATTTGTAGAAACATTAAAATGAAGGATGTGCACCATGCTATCCAATTATACTTTGTGCTGCTTATAAGTTAGTGCATATTCTTAAAATATAAGTTCTAATATTCTTATTGCTACTATTAAATATAATTGTGCTTCATTTTTACATTAAGAACAATAAAATTACAGAGGATGAGTAAGAGCAAAAACCACTGGTGCCATTTTCTAATTCAGATCAGACTATCCCATTTCTCAAAGCAGTTACTGAACAAGCCTTAAAAAACAGAGAAAATAAATCACCTCTTCTCAAATATAATTTCCAACATTGACAAACAGTAAGCAATGTGATACATTCCTTTAGCTGGGAAATTGAGAGACAAAAAATATATGTATAAAAAAAATGAATGTAACTCATGCCTGAATTCTGATTTACGTTAAACTGATCCAAAGTATGCATTCTAACTTGACACCTTAGTGTACCGTCACTGCCAATGTTCATTGAAGTGAACCTGTTTCGGCTGAAAAGCAATTCAGAACCCGTCTAGTCTTCTCTGTCCCACTGACAAGCTGTCAAGAACACTCTATCAGAGCAAGGATTATTTTTCATAGATATGAGGTGTCACCTGGTTTTCCTCAAATATATGATTACTTTGCCTTTCGGACTCAGAATTATATGATTATAGTGGGTAGAAAATAAGCAAAGACCTTACTCACCATGAAAGTGAAAATTTACACAAGGGAAGAATACTTATGCACAAATTCCTCATCAATCATTATCTTCCTGGTAATTTCTTAAGCACATACAAGTTTCTTCCTCTATCCAAAAGAACAACATTCTTATTTGGTTGATTTCGTAGGTTATTTTTTGGATCTAGAAACACTAAGAAAATGTTTCATATACATTAATGGTAACTGCATTCCTACAACCAAAAACTAAACAAATCATACAAACAGAAATGTTCTACTTTCAGACAGCAGAAGCAGCTTGTATTATGTTCACATGCACTATCTTTCTAAGTATCTCTATAAGGCATTACACAATTCTGGAGAAAGTTACAAAGGCTATAGCCTTTTCAAGTAATAAAAAACTTCTATAGCACTGCACTGCACTAGAAAGAACCTGTTTGCTCTTTGTTAACACACTTAACAAAAACTAATATCTACTAGAGAAGATACTAAAAGCTGAAGATGAAAAAATGATTATCTTACAGCCTGGGTGAACTTAAAACTCAGTCTGGCAAGGAAGAGTAACAAGAATGTCACCACTGTAAATGGTGGATGAGGGGAGAAAAAATATCTTTTTATTCTACCCTTCTAAGTTCTTGAATGAAACCCCTTTAACAAAAGACATAGTAACAAAAGAAAATCAACAAATTTAATTTTTACATAATGCGGGAGAGGCTTTATGAAATGAAGGAAATGAAATCCCAAAGAAACAGTTAAATGAGAGGTTCTTATGTTCAGTTTGATAAAGAGTGTAAAGTCATGACTGACATGATAGGAAAAAGAGTATGAGCTGCACTCAGCGAAGCAGGGAAAACTTAAACCCTGTTCATTCAGATTCCTATCTCTGTCCCATGTGCTTGGAGATTAGATGCTCCTCTCCTCTGGGTAAAAGGCAGCAAATGCTCATGTGAAGAGAAGGTTAGAAAGTACTCCCTGTACATATCATTTCTTAAACTCCTTCAACTTAAAGTATTCAATTTGGCCAGAAGCTATTATTTTGTAGTAACCTGTCTTGAATCACATCAGTAGGATATATTTCAGGAGAGTCAACATGCAAGGAAATGTGAGAGGCTGGTAAAAGTAAAGATCTTAGAAAATAAGATGAAGGTCAGTTTGCTTGACTTCTCTAAACTCCTAATTTTTCTCATTTGGAACTATGCCCCATAATTCACATCAAAAAAATAAAATGAACTGTTCAACCCATGCATCTATAAACAGCACCCACTTTTCAACTAGATGAAGATTTTGAAGATGTGGACTTAATACTTTAAAGAATTAATAAATCTTTACAGGGCATGCCTTATAGTTCCAAGTCTTTCAATTGAATATTGAAGGTCACATGAGAAAAATTAAATCCTGTAATCCTCTGCTCCTACAATAACTTACTTTAGAGTCAACTGGCAATATATGCTGTTATGTTTACAACCGTTTGATGGTATCCACAGAGATGGAAGAATTCACTATGAGATTTCTAAGAATTAAGGCAAATATTTTATTGAATAATTGAGATGATATCCTATATATCCTACTTCACTCTATGTGCAGAAACAGACTACATTCTAAAAGAAAAATATCAAGTTTTCACTAAATTTTTCATAAAAACGTTTTTCATCCCATTACTATTGCTCCTTTTGAAGCTGAATTTGCAAATAATAGGGTTTGCAAAAGAGTAGTGCATAGTTGAGGAAACTATTTTAAAAAAGAAATACAATAATCTATTTCATTCTGCATCCATTTGAGGAAGATCAAAGTCAGAACAGCACATATTACATCCATTTAATCGACTGAAAAGTGTAACAGTTGAGCACGAAGTGTGAGGTCTACAGAGTTATCCATTAAATTATTTTAAATGCCACAGAGAGAATTTGTCTTTTTACTGGTTGGAACACTGGAGTCAGAGCTAAGAATTATTATAGTAGGTCCTTCCAAAACGAACTGTCCCTCTTTCCTATATAAGAGAAGAGTATTAAAAGAGGCATCTTTCTTCCACACCCTTGAAGAATTATCGCACTAGCAACTGCCATACGGACTACACACAAAAGGAAAAGCAGACGGCTGATCCAGTAAAGGTTTTATAGAAGGGGTGGGAGAGGGAGGAGAGAAATCTGTACCCTTTGGAGTCCTTGTCCTAAGGCAATCCTCTACTTATGCCGGTATTTTTAAGAAATAATATCATTTTTGGGCCTCCCTGGTGGCGCAGGGGTTGAACGCTGGGTTGCGAAGCCGCCCGCAGCCTCTGCAGCACCGGTTTGATCCCCGGCGGCCTGGCAAGGGTCCCACATGGCACGCAGACCTCTCCTGCCGCCCGCTGCTCCCCTCAGCAGTGTACTTCGGTCCTTCTGCCTGCTCTGCCCCCCGCTCTGGCTCTGGTGAATTCTCTCACCCT